CGGCTGGAGCAGAGCTCATGGTCACGCGCTCAGCTGCAACAGAGGTAAGAGGCCGCTGTGCCACCCCGGTGCCAGCACTTGCCAGACCCCGTGGGCCGGGTGGCTCAGGTCCCTGGATGAGGCCCCTGCAGCCAGCTCTCGTTCACCAGCACTCTGCCTGCCAGGCAGATTCTCCCTGTAGGAAAGTATTTAAATATTTTTGGCGTCACAACCAAATGTGGTTCAATTTCTGATTAATTCCCAGCCTTTCTCTGCTGCCTCACAGGCCTTTTTCCTTTGGGATGGCTTATTAACTTTATAGTTACCAGAGGATAAATAAAACAAATACGTCCTTTCCATATAAATCAGTAGTAATGGAATAGAAATGCTTTCAGGAGGTAATTGTGATGTACAGCACAAAACAAATGCAAAACACATCAGCAGCTTGGAGATCCCCAGATGAGCTCAGGGGGCAGTACCAGGGGCTTCCCAGGGCCCTCATCCCTCTGCGCTGTGCTGATTACAGGCACCTCGACCCCTTTCCAGGCTGCAAAACCAAGGTCCTGTTCATCCCACCCATCCCTTGCACCCCGGTCAGCTCAACCCCACTGCTCTGGGGCTGGGACAGAGCATGCTGGCCCCGGGGGGTTGTGTGTGTGTGCACTGTGTGTGCACACGCGTCCGTGGTGGTGGGGGAGGGAGCTCAGGACCGCCGGAGCTGGCTGGTGACGCTGTGCTCGTGTTTGGTCCCGCAGCTCTCTGCTGGGTGCCGTGCCAGAACGGCGGGAGCTGCACCTTCCCCGGCAGATGCACCTGCCCGCCCGGCTGGATGGGGCGAACCTGCGAGACAGGTACCGGCCACGCTGCTCCCCTCCGCGCTCCCGCATCCCTGCTCCGCCGCTGCCAGGAGACCTCCTCCCGTCAGCAGCGGGGCTGCCGTGGGCCTCTGGGGGTCCTCTGCTCACAGACTGGCCCCTTGGTGGGGATGGGGACAGCACCGTGGCTCCTCACCAAGCCTTGGCCCATGCCTGGAGCTACTCGTGCCACGGCGGGGAACCAGCGTGTTACCCCTCCACGTCCACCTACAGGTATCGCTCCAGGGCAGCGATGCCTGATGGTCTGGCCAGGGAAGGATGGGAAGCTCAGCTCCCAGAGAAGCTCTGACCTCCCTTTGGCTGTGTGGCTGCTCTCAGCCCTCGAGTGCAGGCCTGGTACCCACAGTTTGTCTCCGCTGCTGCTCTCTGCACCCAGCAGAAGGCTTTCTGCAGCGCAGCCGTTACACCATCTCCAGCCGACCCCGCGAGTATCTCCCGAGGTTTTAAACTCTCGCAGTAAACCGAGATGCACATTTCATCTGTAAACTGAAAAATGAGGGAAACCCTGGTGATCTCCAGGCACTGAGCTCTTCTCCAGCGTGGAGCAGCCCGATGCTCCTTGGCAGGGTGCAGGGAAACCCGGGAGGGTGGAGGGCGGCAGCGCTCTGCAGACCCCAGCGTGGTGCAACCCCCTGCCACGGCATTTCCCGGCTTTCCCCCCTCGCTGAGGCAGGGGAGGAGCGTGTGGCATTGGCCCACGCTGGGCCAGGCAGGGCTGAGCACATGGCTGACAGCTCCGGCTCCAGGGCAGCGGGGAGAGGATTTTCCCACTGCCTAAAACAGATTCGGCGTGGGAA